CCAAGATTGTATTTTCTGGAATGGTTGAGCTCGAAGACTACGTAATCAATTAAGTTTTTGGGGTGCATGCTCATGGCATGTCCTTGTGGTACCTGCTCGTGACAGGTCTTTGAGGTGTATGCCCGTATCAAGTCTTTAGGTGCCTGCTCGTGGCAGGTCTTTAGGGTGCATGCTCGTAGCATATCTCGGAAGTGCCTGCTCGTGATAGGTCTTCGGGGAAAAACACTTCAAAAACTTTTGTTGGACATTCCCAATGGTTACTTCATGTAAGCTTTCCTATGATCTAAACAATTATAGGCTCGCATGCCTTGCTGAATGAACTACTAAAACAAAAAACACGTGGGGCATGTGCGCCCGATGAAAAATTAACTAATTATAAACCAGAAAAAAATACATAGGGCATCCAAGCCAAAAAATAACTTGATTAAATAGAGAAGGTGTGGACTACTACTTGTAATAAACTTTGACGTTGTCAGCATTCCAAGGCCTTGGCAGTGGTCTTCCCGACATATCTCTCAAATTATGATATTAATTGTACCAGCCGTGGGTTTGTTACCTCCCTCGAACCTGAGGTATTTCATTTGTCATGATCATTCCTTGGATGCGTATCATGCCTTACATACGTCTTCAAGAATCCTTTTTCTAATCAGGGCCTCAATCTCCCCCCACAATGTTATACACTCCTTGGTTGTATGCCATGATCCCTGTGGAAGTCACAATTTTTGCTCTTGTCCCTGGTCTCCGGGGGAGATCGCAACCTAGGAGGCCATTTAAGCTCCTTCATATCCCTGATCTCCATCAGTATGTTGGACTTAGAGGTATTCAAACAGGTGAATGGCCTAGGTGGTCCTTCCTGCTTGCCTCGAGCCTGATCTTGTCGCAAGTTCGGCTCGTGTGGTCTCTTAAGTTAGGGCTTCTCAAAGCTCGGGCTAGCCTTCATTGCCTCCTCCATATTGATGTATTTTTCTCCTCGGATAAGAAACTTAGTTACTGACTTCGGAGGCGTCTTGGATAAAGACTTCCTGAAGGCTTCACACCCCACAACATAAGTTAGAGTCGAAATAGCCGATGTAATGTGAAGGTCGGGTATCTGTAGCCTTCCTTTATTGAATCTCTTCGTGAAGTTACGTTAGGTCTCATTCGGCCCCTGGCAGATCTACATGAAGGTGGCCACCGTCTTCCTAATGCGCTTACTACT